TTTTGCATAAACTTCAAGTTTTCCTGTACCTTTGTCATCTTAGAACGTCGTGGATGTTGACTATAAATGAATTGGTTTGAGTAGTAGATGAACTTGGATAGTTTCTGGTAGATATTCTTTATAGGTCAATTAGATGTAAGGTTATCAAGTTATCACTAATCTTAGAAGAGAAGTCGGATTATGGCCCTAAAGTTCAGACTCGTGAGAATACTTAGCATACGTGCGCTAGTCAACCACAGTCCTTATGATGATACCTCCGTCTTAGGGCCAACCTCATTATAATTTATGGCTGGATTGTGACTGTCAAACGCTGCCTCCGTCGCCGCTGCTGCCTCCATCGCCTCGCGCACACACACATATAATATAATTTATACATTCCGCATACGTAACATTTATTCCGTATTCCCAACATGCATCATTTATTGATTTACGTTTACCCTCCTAAAAGCAAACCTAAAAAAAAGAAAATCCGCGCTCTCTCGCATTCGTTTCCACTTATTTTAACTAATTTATTGCCACATATTGATCCTTTCATCCTTCGCCACAATAGCTCATGCAGCATCATTCAACACCCATTTATACTTTTATATATTACAAATTACTATTGAAACAAATAGAATTTATATTTCAAGTGTCGTCAATATTAATTCACGTTAATACTTAAATTTAAAAAAAGTAAAAGATAATATAAATATTCTATACATTTATTATTTTTTGTTTATAAATTATTAATTAAATAATTAGTTAGTATTTTCATTTAATTCATTAAAAAAACATTACAAACTTTATTATTTTGATTTAAATCTATGATTAGATTGTAATTATGATATTTATTTCAATATGAGATATGAAAATTATATTGCTGTTTTTTATAATAAGTTTTTAATAGTTTTTACTTTTTCTCAAGAAGAAATATTGGAAAAATGTTACTTTCATGAATTCTTGATAGTAATTTTTATGTTTTAGCAACCTTTTTTAGAGTGAAGCAATAGAATCAATGTTTCAATACTTCCGAAGCTGAGGATTGCCGATCACTGAATAGATTTAGAAGCAAACATTATACACACAAGAAAATATTTTTTTTAAATTATCCCCTAAAAAATATTTTTTAACCAAGCAAGCTCAAAATTTAATCGAAATTGCTTGTCCTCTATATTTGCAAAAAATAATTTTGCCGAGAAAAATATCAACTTATTTCGGCTCAGATCGTTCGTTTCATTTGCATTTCTGAAGTATCATCTTATATACCGAATTGAATTAAAAAATACAAATACTCATATTAATTATGCAGTTTTCCAGAATCTTTTTATGCAAGAAATATTTTTTGTAATTATCCCCTAGAAAAATAAATATTGTTAAGTAAATAATTTAAGACATTTTATCAAAATAGAAATTTAGATTGAGGGAAAGATATTATTGCAGTGAGTCATCCGTTAATTGAAAAGCTTTTTGGACTATTTTTCACGTATGAGGGAGAATGTTTCGAGTTCCTGCTGGGCTTTTTCGAAGCGTTTAAATAATGCATGAGATTACATCGATATAAAAATAAATGCGGGCGTTTCGTGAAAATGTAATTGCAAGAAGGTTTCTCCCCTTTCCGAGAGGGGAATGTAACGGGCTTGAGGGAATGAAATATCGGGAAAGTTTCTGTGGAGGCGCCGGACACGGTGTCTGAATGTACGCATGAGACTTAAAGAACTCGTCTGCGATATTTGTGTTTGTATATGTTTTATTTTCGAATGTGTTGTTTTTGTTGTGAGGGGGCGATAGCAGAGAGAGAGAGAGAGAGGGAAAAAGAAAGGGATGGACGATGCAGGCGACGCCCAATTCTTGATGCAATATATCCACGTCGCACGCAAAACGGGCTCAGATAAATATTCTTTATGTGCAAGTGCCCTTCTTCCTACGGCTCAGACCTCATCTCTTCTCTTCCCTTCTTCACCCTTTTTTCAGAACCTTCTATCTCATCCACATAAACATACATTTATATCGCGTTTTCTATCTGTGTCCTATCTCTCTCTCTCTCTATTTATTTAACAAATCCAGTTGCGCTGATATCGATCAACGTTTTGATGCGAGAGCGTGCGACACATGTCTACTCTCACAAAAGAAGATGTACATATGCGGATATACAATAGAAAGAACGAACGAACGATGGTAGAGTTCGCACGAAATGGCAGCAGCATCATTCCTGGTTTGTTCGTTATGCCAAATATATTTTTTTAAATATCTATCTTCTCAGAGACATGGCAACTCAATTTTTAAATATTTCTAGTATAAGACCCTGAACACTTTCATGAGGTACACTAAAATTTAAACAAAAATGTTACCTAATTACATAAATCTATTTTATTTACTACAATCTTATTTATTTAATTAGTAACAACTTTAATTAATTTGTTGGCAAAGCATCGGTTAAGACAGAATATATTATGCCATATTTATAATTATATAAATAAATCGTCTATTTTTTTAACAAATTATCGTGATTTATTTGTTGTAATTCAAATAGATTTCATTTTTATATAATAAAATAAAATTGGACCTGGAACTTTACCCTATGGTATTCCAATATATAATCCTTTTATCATTGTGTGACATTCCACATAAAAATAAATAGGAAGCAAGATTTTATAGTTGATTTGCATTTCTTTATAATACTTATTTTCTAGAATTGCACCTACAATGATTCCTTGTGATATTCCAATTTTTTTGAGTTTAGTTTTTTTTTAAAATATTATATTATATATTTTTTTAATTGTATTTTGCTGAATTAATAAGTTTTTTTTGAAAATTTCAAACCACACTACAGTGAATTCACACTAAGTGAGGTATTGCTGTAATTGTTATTAAAATGAACGTATTAAGTAACAAGACTCATATTATAAAGAGATAAGAAATAATTCCAACTAAAAATGATTTATATATAATTAATCTACTACTACCCAAAACTCCGCACCGTAGAACGACATTGATGAACGACATTTGATTATCGTAAGCTTGATTTACACTGATTAACACAATAATGAATTGCAATGTAATAATCGCATCTGATTTTCGCAAAATTTTGCAATTGCTTTAATTTGTATCTAAATTTTATGGACGCCGCGAAACCGACGGCCAGTATGCTAATTAAGCCCAGCCTCCTAATTAAAAGTGCTCCATAAACAGTGAACACATCGCACGGAATTAATACCAGATAAATTACACATTCGCTTTATTTATTTTCGCATGCATAAACACACATATATTATACAATTATTTTTGTTGTTGATTTTGTTGTTGTTGTTGTTCCCTTTGCTACATATAAATATACAAATATATATTATCGGCTTTTGTTGTTGCTACTGCTGCTGATGACGTGGCTCGGTTACGTTCCGCGTGTTGGTCCTTGTTTGTTTTGACAGCCGCCATGCGCGATATTATTTATTTACCCGAAATTGCGATTTTATCGGGGCGTTTGCCCAAATCGAATGTTTAAAATTTAACAGATGGAAAATAGCCAATCGACAGCGTGAAACGCAACATACAAAAAAATGCGTACGTCAAACGAAACATTGAAATAAAAAGTATATAAATATGTGAAATGGTAATGAATAAAAATGATATTTATTTTCGCCACACGCAATGTACGTTTTCAATTGGTAATATGCAAATAATAACCTCAACGCGAAAATAATTACGGACTCATTGAAACCAAATTAAAATTGATTATTTATGCGAACGAATTTATTGCATTGTTGTAATTTATAGTAATGTTGCATTGTTTTATTGATTATATACTTATAATTCGTATCTAATTTTGTATGAGTATGTCATTTTTTTAATGTGATATTTTAAATTAAAGAAACCAATTGAGTATTTACTTTAAATTAATTATTATCAGCTGTTAACTGATGCTGGACCTTAAAAAAAATCTTATTGATTTCTATTTATGAAAATATTTAATTCACTGAACCTTTCTGAAAATGTATTTTGTTGTTGTTGGTGTCTTCGTTTAATTTGGGGAATTTTCATTGATTATCTTGCAGAAATATGTATCTTAAATTCCATGTAACATTTAAAAAAATACATGATAAGAAAATTGTAACTTAAAATGTAATAATTTCATATTTGATGCAAGATTAAAATATGTTGATTCTATAATAAATCAATATTTTCACGTATTATAAAAATTAAAATCAAAATATTTTCAAATGAAATATAGATTAAAAATGAATTATTGAAATATAAGCTAAATTATTAATAATAATATTTTTTTATTGCAACAGTCAAAAATAATTAAACATTTTAATTTACAGCAATAATAATTACACAAAAAAGGATTATATACTACATAGGGCCATAGATATTTCTGTCCACACGAAATTATATATATGACACTTTTCGAAATTCTACCTTTCTGATTGATTTTATATTTATTTTTTTATATTATTTTTTGCATCGAAGATTCATTCCTTTGTTGCATAAATCATTGTGTAACGAGACCAGCTGGGCGGCTTAGATTACCATTTAGCTGTAAATAAGAAAACAAGTACTTAACACTGTTGTTCCATAATAATAACAGCAGTGCACAGCGTGTGTTTGTGTGTGATTAGGGAATCGATGTTGTGTTTCTTATTATAGAAATAATTGGAGTGAAATTTAGAGGCGGTTTTCTCGCTACAAGCACACAAATACGTACGTACATTCTCTTGCATGTACAGTACACATACAGAGAAAGAGAACATATCTTGGGCCAACACGAGAATCAATGGCGAAGGCGAAACGAAAATAGGTCGTGAAGTGGAAACCTGCAAAGCGAACCGGAGGAGAAAACTTTGCTCATTTCGTGATAAGCGGGCAAACACGCCACCGTATCGTTATGTTGTAAATTTTCACCAGACCCCCTTCAACATACACACGTACAGAGGGGAAACCGCCCAAAAGTGGTGGAAATCAATATTGAATATGGGAAAATTAATTCGCATTTTAATTAGTTTATTTCAATAAGTTAAAAGTTACAGTACGAAACGGCAGGTGAGCAACATTTTGGTGAGCTTCATGAAGACGTAGATGATGGTGAAGCCGCACACTGCTAAGAAACCGAATACATCGAGCATGAAGTACTTGTAATACGGCATGTGGATGGCAGGGCTTCGCAGATGGTACGCTCCCTTATGGCGGATTACGTACTCCGTCCACCAGACCACAGTGTCCAAGGCCGACATAGGTTTGTCCAAAGCGACGTTTGCCAAATTCGTGATTTTTTCCTTGCAACTACATGAAGACAAAATAAAAAATATGATTAGTCTTCAAATTGCATATGATTGCAAGATTTAATTTAATTTCATACACAATTTTATGAAAAAAATCTGGTGATAAAGATTTTACAGTAATATTTGATTTTAGAATAATATTTGAACATATATTACAGTTTTGATCAACATATTCTTAGTCAAGTCAAGTAAATGAATATTTATGAAGCAGTGAACTTTGTTATTTTAGTAAAAATCTCAAAAACATTTTTTTTTGTTAAATTGATTTCTAAAGTGAACATAAACTAAACTTACGATGGATCATCCATGACTTTGTGAACAGTCTCGATTAACTTCTGTTTGGTCAAGTCCAAGAAATCGAGCCTACGTCCAATACCGATATCCTCGACTTTCCTTGCATTTCCCGGTTGATCAGCGAAGAAAGGCACGACGACCAATGGTACTTTAGAGTAGATAGCCTCTTCGATGGATTGGAGACCTCCTTGCATGATGAAGAGCTTAACATTGGGATGTCCTAAATAATTTAAATAGTTAAAATCGATTATACTTATTGAAACAATGAAGACCAACTTAAAATGTCCTGCTGCGGTAACCAATTCCTGATTTGGACATTCTTAGGTTTGTTGGGCAGATCCGCTTCGAATTTCCACAGGACATCGTAAGGAAGTTCACTCAAAGCATCCATGATCATTTGGAGCTTGTCTTTTGGTAGCAAGTTGCTCTTGACGTTGGATCCGAAGCTCAAGTAGATGACGCCGCGCATGGAGTTATCCAAATATTGTTTCAAATCCTTCAAAGATTAAGGTAAATGTATGTTGGTTTTAAGATTGTTTAATTAATACCTTTGGTAGAGGTTTTGGTGGTTTGATGTGCATTCCGCTAATTTCGATCACATTTGGTACATTTGGTCTTGGCACGTAAATACCAGGGTTCACGCTAACGAAGGCCAAACTAGCTTGACGTTCCAAAACTCTGATATCCTTCTTAACTTCAGGGAAGAAAGTGCTGACTTGTTTATTGAAAATCTTCTCGAGGCTTTTATCGTAAATACGGAAAGAGAAGGAGAATAGGACGCTCTGTACTCTTTCCCAGAAGCTGAGATCTCCGGAGAACGGAAGATGCACATCTGGGTGAGTGATAGGGTGACTGGGGTTTCCGAAGATGTCGTGGTGTCCCAATCCGAATGGGATTGAAGCAATACCCACCAACGGCACATTCCAGACTTCCTTAAGAGCGTAAGAAGTTGGCCATAAAAATTCGGCTAAGATCAGATCGAATTTCTGGTTCTTATCATGGATTAGAGCTTGAACTTCCGGCGATCCAAATTGCGCATCCAAAACATCCGTGTACAACTCGATGAAGGCCTTTATTCCGCTGATCTTCTTCTCCGACGTCGACCCCAAAGAGCCGATGTTGTGCTTCTTCCAGATCCCGTAGGAGAGATCGTGCAGATCGATTTCGGTGAGGTTCGTGAGTGACTTGTCCTTTAGTGGATCCGTCGTGACGACGACGAGTTCGTGTCCCCTGAGGGACAGCTCTTTCCACACCGGTTGGAAGACCGATTGGTGGCTAATCGACGGCGTCGGGAAGAAACCCAATATCCGAGCGGATTCCCCATTATTTACCAGCAGAAGGAAACACAGATTTATTATGAGCAGCATCGCCGTAAATCTCCTCGCTCGAAGACGAGATTTAATAAGTGCGAAAAAGGGGATGGACGTTGCGCGCACCACCGTCTACAGACTACGTTATAAACATCCGATCAGTCCACGTCGAGGTCTTATGAAACCTCTTTATCAGATAATCTCAGATAAATGGGTTGAATTTGGGACAGATAACGACGCACAACATACACGAAAAAATTGATGTAACAACAGAAAAAAATCACTTAGATTTATCTCCCAGTTTATGCCTTTCCAGTTTACTAGCATATATACAACAATTTCTAATAATAAGTATACGTAATAAGTGATAATTTAAAAATTTTATATTTTTCATTCATTTTGTTTTTAAGAATCTAAATAGTTTTCTTTGCAATAGACATAAACTTTCCATAGTATTTTCAGTAATTTAAATTCATCGAGTACGGAGATATCTTATACACGTTGTACGTCAAATTTAAAAAAAAAAATAAAAACTAATATTTTCCAACTAATTAAGCAAGTGTAATAAATTTTAACTAAAATTATTTTTCATTTTTGAATCAAAATGAGCCGTTATTTTTTAAATGCAAAAATGAGTTAATGATATTTTTTGTAAAATATAGATATCCTCATTTTATATTTATAATCATACATTCAATGTAGCACGATTTCTTGATAAAGTAATCAAAAGAATTTTAGCTATACAATGTTATCGCAAAAATATTAATGTAAACCCTTAAATATCTCTATGAAAAAATGGACTTATACAACTTTTTAAAATGAATATTGGCATTCATTGTTAAATTTATGATAAAGCTATATTATTTAATTTTTAAAAATAACTCAATTTTTTGTATTATTTTTTTTTTAATTTAATGCAATGGAATGGAATTTGAAATTATACGTATTTTTGTTTTTCTACGTTGATTGCAATGAAAATATGTAACATTTGCGTCTGGTTTATGAAAACAGACTGCGGTCGATTGCGCAAAATGCAGAGGAAACCAAATTAAAAACTATGCATCTTCTGGTTAAACGTATTTTCTTTCCCATCCTAGTCATTCCTGCGGTATTCATTTTCGTTTTGCGGTCAGATAAAGTACTTGGTAAAGTCAACAGAGGAATAGCTCCCAGTGAGATGGAGTGTTTGTTTGCTTTGGAATAGAGAAACACAGAGAAAGAGAGAAGTCGAGGAAATATGTACTTTCTAATATATTTAAATAATGGTCGTATGCAAAAGGGACCGCAACTCTGCGGTTTTCATGCCTTGTTGTTGTTGGCAGGATTCTGGGGGTGTTTCTAGATCCGCCGTTTGGAATTAAATTTCTGATGCACAAATATACTTTTATTCACATTGCAAGTCTCAAAGGGATTTATTATATAGCGGCCCTATTGTAGGAACTATGACCAACTAACGACAACTAAATCTAATATAACATTTTCTTTCTCCATTTATCCCAATAACATCGCTGCTGCATGAATTTCTCAATAGCTTTTTGATGCGTTTCATCATATTTCTCTTATATAAAAATGTCCAATTACGAAAATGCTTTCATTTTCCTAATAATAGAAATATGCAAAATCAACATAAATCGCAGCAAAATTTGTGTATTAGTTTACATCGATTTTAGAAATAATTCAGTTCAGACCTGAAACCGCATTCTCGGGTCGTGCTGTTGAATAATTCCATTTGCCTTGAATTTGGGATGGATGAGATTGTCTCGACTTTCTTAGCACCACGTCGAAAGGTTTCCCCTGTTTCTCCATTTCATTCCGATGCCCGTTTTTTCCCACTCCTCTAATTCCCCTTGCAAAACCACTGATTCACAAATTTTATTTACCTTGTCCACATCCACTTTATTTCTTTTCATTTTCAATAAGCTAAATTGAATAAACTATTTGTTATATGATACAATATCGAAGGATTACGAATTATCGTGGCAACTGAATAATAATGTCAAACATATACGCATATACCAACAAAACAAACGAAAACAAAAATAAAACATGGGAATGGGAAGCAACGCATTCATTTCGCAAAGGGAAAACATTACGATATTCAATAAGAGGATTATACGAATAAGGGAATGTTTTGTTATCAAAATGCGAGAATTCTTGTTCAATTATTTTGATTAATCATTACGATCCATGAGGGGTTGGTGGTAATACTGCAAATAAATAAGCCATACGTATCGAAACGCGGATTTACAAATACCCACTTACATAAAGCATACTGTTTTATTAGTTGTTTCATGCATTTAATTTCATTACATTGCCATAATTCTGAATACATTTTTTGTTTGTTTATTATTGAAGTCGCTTTATTCTGAAGTTTCAAGATCATTACAACACGCTTCAATTTTATTGAATTTAGAGTACCGAAAACATGTATTATTTAAATTCCACACACAATTTCTTTCATTTTATTTTTAATTTCAGCAATTTTTTTTAAATAAAAAAATGATTGATGTATGCCCAGAAACGCCTATTGTCAATTGCTTTTTACAGCAGTGTATTTTTATTTTTATTAGATTGCTGTAACTGTAAACAAATTTCAGTTTTTTTAATATTTTGAATACTTCATTATTGGCATGAGTAGAATAACTTTACAATTTTGTTAATCGAATTTGGGAATCGCAATATTTTCAAAGCTTTGGTTTCAGATGAAATTAACACGAAGTTAGTGGAATTTCAATTTCTTCGTTGTAATATCTTTCAGTCTTTTGAAACTTTCTCGTCTGAAAATAAATCATTTCTTGTCGAGAGAGGATCGACTTTTCGCTTGAAGATATAATAATAAGAGGACGCTCTTCAAGATTATCATTACCGTCTATATTTTTTTGTTTGGACTCTTTAGCGGATGCCTTTTGAACGGTTTGCGAACTACCCAAATTGTTTTACAAAAAAAAAATAATTGAAACGTATAAACCTTTTATAATCTTGGAGCTTATTACAATTAGATGGGATTAAATGTAAAAAGGACTTTAATATAAAGCGCGACGCCGCCCGCGTCTTCTGTTCCTTCGGCGTCTTCTCGTTGCCTTCCATTGAGCATGAAAAAAAACGCGTAATCGGATTTTCAAACAAATTTCGCATCCTTCGCCTCTTCGAACAAAGAGAATCAGACAAGAAGCTGAAGGAATATAATGTAATAAAGAAGCGATGAGCGACATTTAATTTTTTTTAAATGATGTTGATTTATTTTAGATTTTATTTCTTTGTGTGTTGTGCAATAATATAATGAGGGTGAGGTGAAACTGGGTCTAAACCAATATTTTGATTTTTTTGTTGAGGAATTTGCGTGAAGATGGATGCTTTTCAATGGGATTTAGAACTTGAATGGATGATTGACGGGGTTGAAGGACGGTAAATAAAAGGCGATTTGATTAGACGGATTAATCCTGGATTTGACAAATCCGCTATTTACGATCGTCCGGTTGGTATAAAATATTGAAGGGGGTGGTGGAATGGTCGATGTTGGTGCGAGAGCGATTAATAGACCCGTTCGCTTTTTATTACTGTATATTTCATAATATGCCCCATAAAATCCATTATGTTTAGTTCCATTGAGGTGGAGGGTGGTTGGAAGAAGAGGAAGGGCATTAAAATATAGCGAAACAGGGGAGGGAACAACAACATCCCTTATAATATTTTTTTTGCGTTGTCTGCGCGTCCGCTCCATATCTCGTTGTGTGTGCTGCCCTTTTCATTTATATTTTTTTCGTGTGTCTCTTGTTTTCTTGGTCTTTCGGGTCGGCATAAATTCGAAGTATAAGACTTGTCTGCCGCCACCGCCGCAGAAACGACGACGAAACGAGGTCATCGCGATGCAAGTCATGTTCACGATACTATCGATCTACCCCATAAAGTTGCCTTATATCAAAATGAAGAGCCTGCTTAGACCCACGCTTATGTACACTAAACCGCAACGCAAACCGCCCCCGGGGTCCTCCCCTAACCGCAAGGACGACAACGGCGAGCGCCCTCCTCCTCCAACACCTTCGAAAACTCAACAACGTCCATTGAGGCACACCGTAACACATCAAGTTTCCTTACAAATTCTATATAATAAAATCCAGTTACTATAAATTACTTTGGATCAAATACAAGGTTGCATTTGCGCTTAAGCTGATGAAATATTGAATATATTTTTACTTCCAATTAGATTTTTCATTCCGATTTTTTCTTGCATATACACTTCTTTTACATTATGGATGTTTTACTAATATTCCACCCTATTTTTACAGACTTAAACCAAGTGCGTAACGAGATACAAGGTACCCCACGTTGTGCGCCAAATTAATAAAAAATATCGTAAAAAATATTTGGCAGTATTACATTTACATATTTAACTTTTTTTTAAACTTTTATTATTTATTCACAACCTGCCAACATCTCTGGCTATAAGTTGAATGTTTTTTGCCCAAGACAGAAGAAAATAAAAAGCATGGAGCGGAACGATTTCCCATCGGAAATTTTCCTATAAAAATTTATAAATTTAAGTAAAAAGAAATAATTCGATGACAATAACAACCCAAATAAACATTGATTTTGACGATACTATGAAACTTTAAACAATAAAACTAACTTTTATTTTCTAAAGGGGAGGTCGAAAGTGTTGTGTCTCTTTAGTCTGTGGAGGGTGTCACTATTGTCTAAGAGGGATAACGCGAGACTGTTGGGGTGGTTTTCCAGTCTGTTATGGTAACGGACACTGAATATGGGGATTTCACTCTTAACAGTGTTCATGTGGAGGTCGTTGTGTATCGTGTCGTTCGGCACGTACCAGCTTGCACCAGGGTATGGCAGTCACTTGGACAGGGAGCTTGCACCAGGGTCCGCAGGCAATTGGACTGGAAACGTTGTAGGATCTCTTTCCACTTGCACCAGTTGCAGGCACTTGGACTGGAAGCGTTGCAGGATCTCGATGTTGGAATTGCTGGCTGTTCCCCAAAGCTGGATGCCGTACGTCCACACCGGCTTCAGCACTGTCTTATAAATTAATAGTTTGTTGTCGAGGGATAGTGTGATCTTCTCCAACTTTGTATATCAAGAGTTTGTTGTCGAGGAATAGTGGAGATCTTTTGCCGATCAGCCAGTACATTTCGCGAACTTGATGCCCAGTTGCTTCCTCTTGGTTGCGATGTGCTTCTTCCACGTGAGTCGGCGATCCAAGAACAAGCCCAAGTATTTGGCATCGTCGGCCGGTAGTGGGATATTTCACGTGAGTCGGCGATCCAAGAACAAGCCCAAGTATTTTGCATCGTCGGCCTGCGGGATGATTTTGTTGTTCAGTGTGACCGGGGGGCAGGTTCCGTTTTTGAGGGTGAAGGTGACATGGCTGGATTTGGTTTCGTTGACTTTAATCCCCCACTTCCTGAGCCAACCCTGGTACCCGTCGAGATGACTGTAGTCCACGCACAGCAATAACCGGATATTTAACTAACCGAACGAAATTAATTTTAACTAAAATATCTGTAATCCGCCATATAATTAATGTTCGCTGGAATAAATTGCAAAATAAATATTATAGGACATAATAAAAAATATATGAGAAGAAAAATAATTTATAATTATTCAAGAAGCAACAATAAAGTATTTGCAAATAGTATCCATGTATATTTGAAATGTTATGATTTATATTTATTTTATAATATTTTCTGTGAAACAAGTCAATATGAGTTATATTATTAAATTTATTCAAATTATAATCTGGAGTAAACTAAAATATCTACTCCATATTAAAAATATTGAAATTTCAAACTTAATTTAATAATTTTTGTATAAAGTCAGAAAATCTAATTAAAAAAAATTGAAATTGGTAAGTTTTCCCTTTGCCAAAACTTTTGCACGGGTTGGGATAATAGCGAATAAGCAGAGCGCTTTTGTTTCTCTTTTATTATATTTTGAATTTTTCTTTGGGGGTGCTGTTGCCGACGCAAAGGGGGAAGGTGTTGGGTTCGATACTTGTTTTCTTACTAAGTGAGAATCATCAATTACGACGATGTTTTCTGGGACGGTCGAGATAACGAAAGCATTTATTTATGAGTTTGCTTTATTCCTTCCAGCCGCGGATGGGGACGGGCAGATCTTCTTCGTCGACCCCCACCACGCTCCGCGCATATCGATTCCTTTACGTAATTATCAGACTCATGGTCCTCTGGATTACTCTCTTTACTCTTTTTTCAATCTCTTTAATATTACTATTATCGTTCTTCCCCTTCCGATTGGTACGGATTTTTTTTTGTATAATAATGCATAATGCCAAATTTTGTATATATTTATTCTATTATTTGCGGCCATTGTTAACGTATTTCCCTTCCTCTTCCTCTTCACTTTCCCACTACTATTTTTTGTTCTTTTTTAAATCGATGTTGCAGCAGCATCCCCATTGTGTATGCGGGTTTCCGGCTTTGGATTATTGCTAAATTAATTTTCCGTTAATTGCGTTTAATGAATCATTCCGATCCGATCGGCATCCCATGTATTTATAATAAATTCGGACAGCGATTCATGTCCGTAATACGATATATTAAATTTCGGCTTTTCCGGCAAATCCGGCGATCACTTGGAATTTGTTTTCCGGGGATTTTGGTCGTGCACTAAATCAACGACTTCACGCTTTCATTAATTGCCATGTACAACTTATTCTGTGCACACTTTTCACAACTACTTTTTTTGTTATATCCTCCACTTCATTCAATCTTCTCGTTTCGAGCTTCATTCCATAAACGAAATCGATTAAATCAAAGTATTTAAGTATTCTTTATATTTAAGTATTCTTTACTAAAATTAACATTTAAAACATTCTATGAGATGAAATAATTATCATAGAACATTATATTTTTAAGTTCCAATTCGATTTTTTCAATCATAATTATTAAAGTACGTTAATATTACATTTCCATACTTGAAGCAGTTTAGTACATTTTTTTATAAAATGATTGTCATGAATGCCTCATATATTTTTGTACTTTTTTCATATTTTTTTTAAGTTGCTTAGCTTAATAGTTTTAATAGCTTTAGTATTAAAACTACTAGTTTTCAACACTCTTTTACTATTCAACGAAGTTCACTAAGTAAAGTTGTTTTATACTATTTTCAATAATAAATTACAATAAATTATATTTAATTGATTTTTTTTACAGCATTATTTTATAATAATGTACATATTTTTAAGTTTATTGTTAAGATATTTTTTTTTAATCAAAATCATTGAAATATTTTACATATGAATGATTATTATAAAAACAGAAAATAATTTTGAGAGGAATACATGCTCAAAACAAATTATCGACGGAGACAATGGGACAAGAAAAGTAATCTTCAGATAAGTGATACAAAGATGACCTTTTTATCAGAAAGATTTGTGTCTCGAAATGCCTTATCGATACAAGCGGAAGTTGCATTTATCGAGATTTCTCTATTGTATTTTTTTTAACACAATAAATTAATATTTTGTCACTTAATATTGATAATTATTTATTATTTAACATATTTATTGGCCACAATAATGTGCGAATGTCAATACAAAAATGGAATATGACTCGGATTCTTAGCTAATTTTTTTCCTTCTCTATACATTACATACAACGATCTCGAAAATACAATCGCAACATCTAACCATATATATGGGCAAACACCACTAATAATGTGTTTTTTTTTTGATAAAAATCTTAGCAAAATTAGTGTAATTTTTGTTTCCACTTTTGTCAACTTTTATGTTGTCGACTTCTATAATGTTTTCTTTTCCTATAAGCTTTAATATAGAAAAATAAAACATTATTTTTAACTAATTATATAACATTAATATGTCACATTTGCTTTATTGTTTTAGTAGACACATTTATCTTCGTTATGCCCAATCATTGATTACGTTTTGGGTAAACTGCGTTGAGAGAAAGGATTATATTGTAAATTTACGAGGCGTAAATCGTGTATCTATATATTTTTAAGCATTTTCACATAATTATTTTGTTATTCGAGATAAAAATTTAGTTGCAAATTCAGTTATCGTTTTTAATCTCAACGTAATCTTTGATCCTTTATACACTTTTCCTCTCGTTATTAGTTCTGAAGATAACATGTATGTAGGAGAGAGAGATATGATACTTTATGGAAATTAGGAATTGATCTCGGCAATAAACCAAAGAATTGGCGCGAAATTAGAAATTGCTTGCTTGGCGTAACGTCGGCGGAGATTGCATGCAAATCGGGGAGGAGACGATCATCGATTAAAATATACTCTCTATCTCTCTTCTTTTTTCTTCGTGCTTTCCGCAGAAGCTGAGCTGCATCTAAGATTTTCTCCACCCGCTTAAATCACTTCGAATCTTGAACGATATCACTTTTAATTCTAAAACTTGACTCGATTAAGTTTTTTTGGCGACAAACCTGATTTAAGCCAGAATATTTCCATTTTTATTGCATTTGTTTAGTCAGGCTTATTCATCTTTTCGCTTTATTCATTTATAATCAAAAATTTCACTTTTAATGACAAAATAGTAGTGATTTTCGTCATTATATTATATTATTAAATTGAAGCATTTATAATTTTCTATTTAAATAAGTGAAATAATCCCATAAGATTATGTTATTCAAATATTTAAAATTTTATGGAAAAAATATTTCCATATTTTTTTTAATAGTTTGTCAAGTTTATTATTATTTTTTAAAATAAAAATCTCATTTATATATCCAAATTAATCAATTAAATAATCACTTATATTATGTTCATCAAATATTTAAAAGCCAGCAAGATCCATGGTCAGTAGTCCTTTACAGCAAAGCAATTTGGTTTTAATTTTCTTATTATGTTATCTTGTTGAGTTGTATTATGATATTTTTTACTATGCTGATGACACTGCGATCCTAGTCAGGCATACATCCATCGAACATGTCACGAGACTACTTCAAAAGGCCCTTGATGAACTTGAAGATTGGTTTCGGCTCTGGCGGATTGATGTTAATCCAGCTAAGAACGTCGCAGTGTTGTTCTCTCGAAGGGGCGCCACACCAGCTGGCGAGCTAACAGTTTTCGGTGAAGAGGTTGAGTGGAAGCCTTCAGCCAAATATCTGGGAGTCACCCTTGCTAAAGGACTGCGTTTTAAGCAGGACATAGAGATGGCCAGGAACAAAGCCTGTGCCACTATCAGATTACTCTATCCCTTAACAAACAGGAAGATCCGCCTTAACTCCCAAAGCAAGTTGGCCATCTATAAATCAATTATCATATCTGGCATGACTTATGCGTCTCTTGCTTGGGGCCATGCAGCGCACACTCACATGCACAAGCTGCAAGTAATACAAAACAAGACTTTAAGAACCATTTTCAATGCTCCCTGGTACGTCAGGAATGAGCAACTGCACCGTGAGGCCAACATACCTTACCTCTCCGAATACATGACGAAGACAGCGACGAAGGCTTTTGCCAGAGCTGAGACCCATACAAATCCTCTCCTGCAGGAGGCCATCGATTATGACCTGGGTGATTACCACATCCACAAAAGGCCAAGAATGGCCGCTACCTGACAACACCAACACTTTTATACGATAGAACATCCCTCTCATGCATCATCACATGAGCCATTAGGCTGAAACTTACTCCTTAAAGTCATGAGCCGAAAGGCTCAGTTTTTACTCCCCCAATAAAAATCACCACCATGCTTCCTTCAGATAAAATGCAACGGGATCATTCCCCACCTAGCCACATGTATGAAAAAAAATCCATTTCAGATAGTTTGTTCTGTTTATATTGTTGGTACGTGACGAACGACACGATACACAACGACCTCCAAATGAACATTGTTAAAAGTGAAATCCCCCAGTTCAGTGCCCGTTACCAGAACAGACTGAAAAACCACCTCAACAGTCTCGCGTTATCCCTGCTAGATAATAGTGACACCCCCACAGACTAAAGAGACACAACACTCTCGACCTCCCCTTTAGAAAATAAAAGTTAGTTTTATTGTTTAAAGTTTCATAGTGCCGTCAAAATCAATTTTTATTTGGGTTGTTATTGTCTTCGAATTATTTCTTTTTAGTTAAATTTATAATTATTTATAGGAAGATTTCCGATGGGAAATCGTTCCACTCCATGCTATTTATTTTGTTTTTTCTGTTTTTATTTTGTTTTCGATTTATTGCCAGAAAGTATTAGCAGATTGTGAATACATAATAAAAGTTAAAAAAAAAATATTTTTTAAATTTTTGTTATGAAATCATAAATATGAAATCATTTGTAAATTATAAAAAATGGGAAATCTTTTAAACCGAAAAGAGCTGTTATTAAATAAAGTATTTACGATGAACGTGCTTAAACTTAGGACTTTGCAAACCAAAAAAAATATCATCCATCCAAAAATATCAATTCTGAACTATATATTTTACAGCGATAAAGGATGTAACGTTTGTACGCATTAATATCTAGTCTTTCTATTCTTTTTGCCTTTCTTTTTTCTTTCGTTCTCGCATTTTCTGCAGTTCTTTGCCAGAAACTGTTACAGACGAGAAACTTTTCCGAACTTATTAAAAATTAAATCGCTTTACAAAAATAACCGTTTCGCGAATTCGAAAGAATAGGTTATTTAATATGGGAAATCTCTTAAACCGAAAAGAACTGAGATTAAATAAAGTATTTACGATGAACGTGCTGAGTAAATCCACGTCTTAAATTAAAGACTTAAACTTAGGACTTTACAAACCAAAAAAAACATCATTCATAAAATTCTGAACTATATATTTAACAGCGATAAAGGATGTAACGTTTATACGCATTAATATCTAGTCTTTCTATTCTTTTTTCTTTCTTTCTCGCATCTTCTGCAGTTCTTTGCCAGAAACCGTTACAGACGAGAAACTTTTCCGAACTTATTAAAAATTAAATCGCTTTATAAAAATAACCGTTTCGCGAGTTCGAAAGAATAGGTTATTTAATAGATTATGACTAGTAGTTTCCTTCCGTCTTCTTCCAGTTCGTCCTTTTGTTACACATTTTCTCGCAGTTTCCTTTTGTTACAGTCTCCTTCATCCTTCCGGCATTCGCTCTTAAAAGCGTCATCATCGTCCATAGTGGAAAGTTTTATGCGGATACCCTTTGTTGCTCCGATCAATACATTTTTATATGTATTTATTTTTTTTATTAAAAAATAGTTTTATGGACGACGCAGAAATTCAAAGATTATGTGTGTCTACGGGATAGGCAAATTTCTGATAAACCGAAAGAATTTTTGATATTAAAAATAAAAAATTGTATATCTGTTTACAATAATCACAACCTTCTCAAATCAATTGTTGACTGATGGTCGATTTTTGTTAACAATGACAGAAATGTATTTAATTGAAACATTCATCACTTTACAAACAGTAAACATTTGCGAAAAAATTGTAATTTAAATTTCATTTATTATTTTAATTTTGGATATATATCAAGCCCCCAAAACATTATTTAATATAAAATTATATAAAAAATTAATGAACCTCAAGTTAATATCAGAAAACAATTATTTTTCATTATCTTATGACACCTTTGAATCGGCTTAAGTTTTGAGATTTTTTGAAATAACAAAAAAAAAATACAAATTTCGTACTTTTTTTATCAATAATCAATAAAATTTTTAAATGATATGATTTAATTAAACTTAAGTTAAGTCGCCCTACCCATTTCGTGGGCGCCGGTTCGAATCCTGGTCAAACCAGGACCTTTGTGAGCTCTCTCGGTGTTTGCAGCAATAGAGCCATCGTTCATCACAGATGGACAGTCAAATAAATGAGGTTAAGCATATGGACCTTCAGCCAAGTCGATGGACAATGACAGTGTTAAGGATAGCAGCAAATTCACAGTCAAATGAAATAGTGGAATCGCAGAGCATCAATAGCCAAGCAACAAATTAAAAATCAAATCATCGTAATGGCAACTATCCACCGGGAAAGGTTATCTATTTAATGTCAACCGCGATCTTAAATATACTCAATGTTCACATTGATGAACAGATTGTGAATAAAATTATACGACATAAAAAAATTATTCAAGACACAAATATATAGATCATAGATTAGTAGAGAAAAGTAACTTAATTAATTTTATTTTTGGTATTACAAAATTGGATTTGGTTATTTATAGTTTTTTTATAAATCAGTACTGTAAACATATACATTTTTCTAAAATGGTTTGATGTTGATGAATCATTAATCTTTTTTGTGTTTGGTTGAGAGCCTTCTCCTGCGCATCATTAAAAGCATTTTAATGAGGACAATCAAGAGGATCGGAGGTGCGACCAGAACGGCGACGACGTCCAAGCAGAAAAACTGATACCAAGGCATGCGACGCAGAGGACTTTTCAAGTGATCAGCGCCTTTGTGCCGCAGGACGAACTCGACCCACCAGACGGCCTCCTCCAGAGCGGTCATCGGCCTATCCTGTACAAGCCTGCTAAGTTCCTTTGCTCTCCTCGAGTATCTGCAACGAGAGGAAGAAAATGAAGACAAAAAAAAACTGTTCGTCACCTCGTCGACTCGACTGCATAAAATAGATAATGCGGATACGTTTCGTTAAGGGCTTGCAGGATGGTAGATTTTAAATTGTCCTTCGTCAGCTCCGCGAAGGGTATCGATCTTCCCAGACCCACGTCCTCGACTCTTAGAGCGTTCGAGAATTGGTCACCGCAAAACGGGATCACAACCACCGGAGTTCCGCTAAAGAGGGCCTCATCCAAAGATTGGATACCACCTTGTGTTATAAACAGTTTCACTTTCGGATGTCCTGAAAATATTCAGTTTTTGATTATATATTTGAAAAACTATATAAATTTCCTAACTAAAAAATCTGTCAGGAATAGCAATTATGAATACAGATTGAAAATTAGATGTTATAAAGGTGATATTGAATTGGTGAACATGAATGTTAATAACGTGATATATATTTATGGCTTCTTTTCGCATAAAAAATTCTTGAGGACAGATCATGCTGAAACTGAATTGTCAACTGCAAGTGTGAAACTTAAATGGAAATTAATAATAATATTTAGTGATAATTATGCACATCAGTGATATACACCTGACGGATAATCACGTTTCTTTTCATGCATAGTGTGGATATAAAATATATAGCTTTAATTATTATCAGAAGAATTATTATCAAACGAAATGAATATTATTAATTTCGCTTATCGCCGTTACAACGATTTACGTAATTATGTATCTGCATAAAAGGGGATTGACCGAAAAACTTGATTGCACGTAATTAATACGCATTTTTGTCTTTTATTTATTAGCACGTATAACTTGATTGTTTCTTATGAATATTTATAAATAATTGAAATATATCTAGATTTAGCACTAGTTTGTTTTCTAATTACTTGTGAAATTGTGAATATTCAACCATAGTGATCCGTGCAAATATGTATAATTTTGAAGTGCGTTAAATTTGTTGGGTAAAATGGACGTAAATCAAAATGTTATCTCGTACCTAGTAAATCTTGCTGCGGGAACCACGGTCGTATCTGCACGTTGTCTGGTCGTGCCGGCAGATTATCGGATTCGAATTTCCATAATATTTTGTGGGGCAGTTCTGCGAAAACGTCGAGGAGCATTCGGATCGTCCGCGAAGGCAGTAAATCGCTTTTTATAGTTGATCCGAAGCTCATGTAAATAACAGGTCCAGGGCTTTGGTCCAGCAGCTCGAGGATGTCCTGCAGGTTAACGGGTTTTCAGAGATTCGAAGCCGGGTTTTTATTTTTATTTACCGTTGGTAGAGGTTTTGGCGGATGCAGATGGAGCCCGGCGAGTTTGATGTAATTTGGTACAGTCGGTCTGGGCACGTTGAGGATGGGATTCGCGTTGGCTATGACCAAATCTATGTCCAGTTTGAGCTCCGATACGGATCTGGTTGATTGGTTGTAGAATTCGCGTAACAGAGAATCAAATTTGAAATCGATATCGTTCATAGATAAACGATTTGATACCCAGAATAGGAAGCTTTGGACTCTCTGGAAAAGGTTGAGGATTGAGGGCATCGGTAGATTGATGTCAGGGAATACAGAAGGATGGTTCGGATTCCCTATTGTTTCGTGTCCATAGATCATGGTAGGCATTGAAGAAACAGCAATCATGGGACACTTGTAGACATCTATTAGAGGATATGGACCAGGAATTATGTATTCAATCAAACACAGATCGAATTCTTCTCCCGCATCATTCCTTATGATCTCAGCTACCCGAGGATGTGAAAGCTGTGCACGTATCAAATCGTAGCTCAACTCCATGAAGATGTCCATCCTGTTTCCATCCTTCTCGTCCATTATACTGAGTCGAGAAATATTATACTTATCGAAAACCCTATAAGACGCATCGTGCAAATCGATCTCGGTCAGATTGCTCAAGGTCGGGTCGTTTATCGGGTTCGGAGTAATCACCGTCAACTGGTGACCCCTCAAAGAGAGTTCCCTCGAAAGTGAATTAAAAGTAACTTGATGACTATAGCATGGTAACGAAAAGAATCCCAAAATCTTCGCACCGTCCGCAACAACAAACGCCGAAAACAACAAAAACAACATTTTCGATAAAGTAAAGTCCACAAGCAAAACGCAACCCATTTTAAAGCGTTTATCTCATTTGCATTAATTTATATAATTATGATTGTATCATTTACCTTATGCATATTGTACAAATAAAGAGAAATGTATATCTCAACTGCTTTACATAATATATTTTGCATTCTTCTGTCTCGGTACTTAATTTGTTTGTTATATTTTTCTTTTTTACCCACATAAAATTATCCTTATTATTAATCGGAATGTAATACTACATTTATTTCAATTTTCCTACAAACGAAAACAGATCATGAAACATTCCGAACATATGAAATAACTGCTTTATAATTCCACGAATTCCATTTATAAATTTACAATGTAACCGTTTGTAATAAATACGTTGCGAAATCTAATTACTTCATGTATTTTATGTACAAAGAAATTCATTTTACCAACTCAATTAAAAAAAAACTTTTGCAAGAACTCAATTGTTTGGTATTATATTTAGTAATTAGTAATTCAGTATCATTCTCGTATATTTTTTTATGTAAAATAATAATATTTGGTACTCAAATTTCTCATTATAGAAATTATGAAATATATTTCTGAACTTATACAACTTATAATTGTTTGCTATAAAACTATTAATACAAAAAATAAATACAAATTATAAATTTAGAATATTATTTCGTTAATAGATTGTGAAAATGATGGTGAAATTAAATTACATTATTAATGAACAAAAAACAATGAACATTTATACCAATAGTTTTTTTTGCCTCTAAATTTGTCCTTTAAACTAGTATTCTTAAATCTAGAGAAATTTATTTGTTATTGAATTTTATTGCATTGGATTATTTCTAATGTATTTCAAGGCACAAAATAAATAAATTTACATAAATAATGTGTAGAGCATGTGAATAATTACAACAGAAAATAAAGTTTACTATAACTTTACATTACAGAATTATGTTTATAAAAAATCGATTTACTAAATATATTGTTTTTCTTGTTGCAGGTAACAAAAAATAATTTGCGGAAGTTCAAGCGGTTCGATTGTCCTTTGTGCTAGTTTAATGAGAGTCTGCGGCAGAGAGGTAAGTTTCGGAAATTTTGATCGGAGCCTTCGAACTAAACTTCCCATCGAGTTTGGTAATCATACGGCGTGTTGGAAATTGTGAGGGACCGCAGCGAAGGGAGAGCACGGTAAAGAGAAGAGCATTATGGGAATTGAGATGAGAGAGACAGACAGACAATGTTACTAGCACCCCCGCAAAATGCGACCATCCGTGCTTCGGACCCCCACGCCCGTGTTTACACCACGATCCGAGCTGACAGACAAACAACGAGAAAGGGGAAAATCTGCAGCGCAGACCTAAACAAATACAATCCCATTAAGTGTAGAGCAATTATTATATTTCTGTCTGTCCAATCCGATTTTGTCCTATGGTCCTGTCTCTGCGCGTTTCGTGTTTTGGTTCTCGGGTTTCGTTGGATGGATTTGCTGGTGCTGCTGAGATGGATTTGGAAATGAGGGTGGATGGATTTTGGCCGTTTTTCGGACGAACGGATGATTCATGCACATGATGAATATGACTTGCATGTCGCTCGGGGGGCATAAATATCTGGAGGGGCGGACGAGTGTGAGGTGGGGGAGTGTGAGAATCGGGGCTTAACTTGATTTATGAATGCGAAGGATGATTTCGTTTGTGGCCGGATTTTTCTCTTCCTCCTCCTCCTCTGACATTTTTTTTTCATTCTCCACTATAAATTTGGTATTATCCTTTTACGTCCTTCAATAGATTCTCCTGCATAAAAATAGAATACAATAAAATAATAAATATACATATTCACCCCGACGTCCAATTAAACTAATTGACTGTAAATTAGAGCGAATTTCGCCGGCGATAATTCAAGGTGAACTTAATTATAAGTAGATATTATTTAATTACGGAAGTTTCGCCAGTTTTGAAAATGTACACCAGCTAATCATTTTAATTACTGTTCCGCTCGAGTATCGCGACGAGTCTTCATCCAGTCTTGAGAACTCGAAAATAATAAATACAAAAGTCACACTAATATTCCCAACAATCTATCTCAATGTATTTGTTTATCTGTTCCTTATAATGTTTCGAAATCGACTATACTCACATTATCTCAAATTATTCGCAGACAATCACATAATCATTTCTATAAACGCACCACGTTTTTGTTTGTTAACTATTTTATTTTTTCTTAGTCCATTTTCTTCAATTTTCCTTGCATCTATCCAATTTCTTCATTCATTTCTTTACTTTTTAACCTATTTTAATTAATTACACAATCATTTTATTATATTTTTTTTTACTTTTTATCAATTTTTTCTTCCGTTTCTCATTTTTTCACATAAAATTAATTATCTAAATGTTTAACAACATATCCTATTTATTCCTTTATTATTTTATTTACAAATTCTTAAACTATAATTTACTACATCGTTTCTTGTCAATATTAAAATATTCACTACATTATTTCATGCTTTCATTATTACATATTTTTTCAACAAATTTTTGTTCTCAGTTAATTTCCATTTAAAAATTTCATTTACGGTCAAAAATACTCATACAAATTTGTAAATAATATTCAATTTATTATAACGAAGTGTTAAATTTCTGTCACTTTTTTTATTTTTACCCCATTAATTTACTGACCATCATATAATGATTTTTCAAAAATTGAATTTTCTTGAATTATTACTTTTCTCGCACCATTTCCTTAATCCTTGTCTCTTTTTATCATATTTCAACTTCATTTACCTCCATTTTTTTTCCTGTTATGTTATATTTTTCCATTTAATTTTCCCATTCTTCTCTTTCTCTCAATTTTTCACCTCATTATTTCAATTGATTTCATCCAACATTATTTTCATTTTTTATTCAAATTTTAATTAATACTATTATTTCATTATAATATTCCATAGTAATTAATATTAAATTTTATACATGTAACCGCCTCAATAATTTTGTTGCCCGATAAAATAATTATTTTTCCGAGTTCAAATAATTGTTTTAATTGTACTTCGAAACGAAAATTCCGACGATCATTATTTACATATGATAAACATTTTATTTGACCATTATTAAACCTTATTCTTTCCAGCTAACATCATTATTTTTTATTAATTAATACAGATTTAGATCTAGTTTTATGGAAAATAAATTAACGTTGTCAAATATCATTTTTTTATGCTGAACTTAATATTACAATTGTTTGTTGTTTAACAAATATAGATGTAAAAACAATGGACTAACAAATCGAGAATGCAAAAATCGAGATATATCTAAATTACAAACTGCACGACACAAAATTACGAAATAAAACTTTTAGTTATTGCTCTGATAATTACAGATTGCTTCGAGCAGCAAATGAAAAAAACAGGGTGCAATTTTGTGTTCATCGAGTTTGCAGCTAATAACCGCATCTGAAAGCTAATAACAAAGTGCATTTAAATTTAATGGTTGTTTCCTTGGAGCACGAAAACGGACTGAAAAAAATATATAAATAAAATATAGTGAAATGAATATACAAAACAATTGTAGTGCACAAAAGTAAATTATGATACCGAAATTACAATGAGAACAAATTAACAAAGAGAGAGAGAGAAAAAAATGCGTACAGCAGGTGAAACAATTAAGCGGTGTAGTTTGGAAAATGTAAATAATAAAATAGAGTGCGAGGTACGTGAGAGAGTGGGAGTTTTTTGTATGTGTGTGCATTTGCACACACGTTACATACAAATTAGGGATAATTTTCGAGAGGGAATTGCGGGTCGTGTCCGGTTTCATTGCTTGCAAACATTTAATGAACATGTTGTAGCGCTATGACGTACTTTCCAATTGATTATGATCGGAGTCGTGCTTTTACGCAATTCGGAAAATTTAATTAGATTTAATTATTTGCGTAAACCGATAAGAAGCAAACAAAAAACACACATGTTACCAATCTAGAATGAAAAAAATCCTCTAAATATAACTGTTACCAAAAAATATACGCATACAACAACGTTCTTAGCATCATTGGCAAAAAAATCTCGAATCATGAATACATGTAAATATGCATTCAATGATTAACAAACGTTGATTAATACATTACACTTCAATGCTTTCATTCTGCGATTGCACGTATTTTCGGATTTTCATTAATCCTTGCTGGAGGCCGCATTATCCTCTTTCGGATAATTAATTAATCCCGTAGAGAATCCTCCATCATCAACGAACATGATTTCCGAATGTTGAAAAAAATAACAACAAACAAACAGTATTAGGAAATTAGCAGGAATTTAAAATTGACTGAAATATTTAATGGAAATTGATTATGAGATTATTTCTTCGAGTAATTTTGTATTATTTTTCTTTTCGTTCTTTTGTGTGCGATTTCCATGTAAATTTAATGCTTCTCTTCTTGACGACGACATCGATCCACGCTATATAGAATTTTACACTTTCCTACAAATTGCATTTGCTTTGCATTTGATGCATCTGCAAGCGAAATAGAGCCATAGTCTCAAATTGGGTTTATATTGATTTTCTTGACTTTCGCTTGTAATTACATATTTACCCTATTTGGAGTAATAACATTTAAAGTAATTTTTGTTTACTGATAAATATTTTTAGTTAAAACCGGTAAAAAAATAATTGAAAATTTTGAGTGCAAAAGGGTAATTACGATAACCTATTTAGTTAGTAGTTTAGTTTACATTAACAAATAACAATAAACAATTACACTGTTACCTAATAAAGAAAGCAAAATACATTGAGAAAAGTAATTAATCAAAATTAAATAAAATAGTGCTCCTTAAATGTACTTAAAAAACTATTATCAAAAAATTTCAGAAAAAAAAATGAATAAAAAATGCAAAATTTCTTATAGGAAATTTTAATTTTACTTGACTCAAGATTTTTTTGGGGTTTTCATTTTTATTTTTATTACAATATATTTAGGCAATTAATAAATATATACTGTTTTTCTGCTGTCCATTTTTATAT